ACCGGAGAAAAATCTACGCGACCACGGGGGGAATGTGCAAAATCCAAATATACGACCTCCGGCATACCAGGCAAGGTAGTTAACATCTTGTCACCGTAGCTTATGAGCTCCACGCTTGTGCAAGTCGTCCTGCAGCCCCTAACCTAATGGGTAATGATTTCTTATTTGATCTATAAGGAGGTAATATGTCTCTTTCATACATAAATATCTCCATATTAAAAAATAACGTTTTTTTTTAACACAACCCATCAGTGCCACAGCCTTCTGGTAGCACGGAATTCCTGCAGCCACTGATTCAGTGCAAGCAAACTGAGGGCTGGTTTAGACATAGTGTATAGTGTCTTGAAAAAAGAATAGGCTTTGACCTTTCCGGCAACAATGCTGGAGCTGTTGAGATTTACAAGTAAACGAGACACCTATTGCAAGGCATCATGTCTGCATTAACCACACATGCTCGTGGTAGAACATGCAAACACTGGTAAAAAAAGGGTCCCGTTGATACAGGAGCTCCTGTATTTACGAACGAATTAGGTGCCAGAGGTCTGTTCTGAGTCGATATGTTACTCCTCTCGATTCCAAACATGTTGTATGGCATGTCTACTAAGCACGGGGAATTGGCTTTAAAAGTTGTATAGTCTCCTGCAGATGTAGATGCCACTGGTTCTTCACGTTCTGCAGATGCCACCACCGCCATCTATTGCACGACGGTTGACCTTATGACTCTTGCTCCGGACAGGCAACTGGACATACGGACAGGTTTGTTCGTATCTCTGAAAGTTCGTAAGTCGAATGTTCGTAAGTAGAACCTGGGGCGACAGAGCCTTCTCTATAGCTGCCCCCTCACTTTGGAACTCTCTCCCAAAACAAATCCGTGACTGCACCGACCTTCCAGCGTTCAAATCATTGACTAAAACTCACCTTTTTAAAATTGATTTTAATGTTTTGCTAAGTTTGATGTGTTTTTAGTGTTTTTACCATTTGATGTTGTTTTCGCTGCTTTTATGATTTTATATAAAGTGTCTTTGAGTATTCAGAAAAGCGCTCACAAATAAAATGTATTATTATTATTAGAGTAGTCCCTGTCTACAGTGTCTTGTCAGCAGAGTTGGTGAATTCAATGCTGGTGAAGCGTAAGATGTTTACAGGCAAGGACTGGCCTCTCTGTTAGATATGGGTCCTAGTTCGATGCTTATTGTGTAATACGTAACAGAAAATAATTATTATCATTGTGGAAAATATAAACGCACAAATTTGTAATATTTATTTATGGAGGAATCCGGTGAGCTATAAAGCGGGTCAGAACGTTACAACAACAAACAATACAAAAAACATGATAGAAGTGGAAAGTATAGGAAAGGTAATCAAATCACTAAAAAAAATACGTATAAAACTAAACAATTAACTTACCAGGTAAAACCCACTGAACTTTTATCTTCTTTTTCAGACGCAACCTGCCCACAAATGCTAGCTCAACGAACTAGCAGCCAAATACTGTCAATAACATAGAGCATACACTGCGTCATTATATCGGTCTAAAGACGTACGAAGGAGACATTACCGCTAGGCCATGTCCACAACTCCTCTCGACACCGTGAATGTTCCCCCTTGATAATTAGCAATGTGAATTGGGGGCGCCGCGGTGGTGAGATGCTAACTACCTCGCCTGGTATAGCAGAGGTCGTGGGCTCGATCCCGACGCTGACGCCTGTTGCTGTATATTTGGAGTTTGCGTGTCTCTCTCTCATCATCATCATCACGGTGGCTAGGAGATGTTAACTACCTCGCCTGGTATACAAGAGGTCGTGGGCTCGATCCCGACGCTGACGCCTGCTGCTGCTGCTGCTGTATATTTGGAGTTTGCACGTTCTCCCCGTGGTCGCGTGGATTTTTCTGCGGGTTCTTTGTTTTTTTCCCTCCACATTTAGAAACACGCGTTTAGAGTATTTGGCTGCTAGAAATGTCCACGCGATAAGCGCACTTTGTTGAGCTGTCATTTGTGGCCAGGGCCGCTTCTGAAAAAGAGCTGTATAGCTCAGTGGGCCTTACTTAGTAAAATAAAAATATATATTTATTTAGTTGAGTTTCGAATCCAGTTCGAACTGGCTTGAGCCTCCCAACTGATTCCCAAAAAACACGTGGAGGGCTACAACGGCTATGTAGGCTTAAACGTACATCTCCCTAGGAGCGATGGATTAACGGCACAATCAGCTGCGATCAGCGAGGCCTGACGAGCACAGTCTGTCTTACCCGTTGAGATTGGATAATCTTGAAATAAAGCCGCCTCATCCCATCACTTCTGCTGCTTTTGCTGCTCTTGCTGTTGCTGCTCCTGCAAGTATCATTCGTGCGTACGCATGGTACGCACGTTGAATTTATTTCGCACCGTAAGTAGCCAACCGCGCTAATCGGAGGTGCGGGGGGGGAAGAACAATAAACTGAATGCAAAAAGCAGTCCTATGGACATCAGTTTTCTTCCATCTAGGTGATTTCAAAGTGCGTAACTCTAGTGGCTACCTAATATCGGAAGGAGGAGCGGTTCCAGATGGCCGCAGAAGCGCATCCGAGAGCGTGCGATGCGGCGACCGCCATCTTTGTTTGACGGCTATACAAAGTTGCTGCTGCTTCGAGGATGTCCGCACTTCGCGTGATGGGCCGTGCTCCTTGAGAAGATCGGCGAGGTATTGCGGTTCAAAGTGGCTCCTCCTGCAGTTGCAGGGCCGTCGTCCTTTGGGGCTGGAACAGGGTGCAGCGGTGCGAAATTGCCCCGGTATTTTTAGTTAGTGCATCGTGGCACCCTAAAACATTTCTCAACGGGCGCGAAGAATACGAGCGAAAGTTAAATGAAAAGCAATTGTGCTCATTCGATTTGGAAATGCCGTATTGTCCGGTGTAAGATCACTCGAATAGACTTTCTTCGACAATGGCATACGACGGTGATATTACAGCCGTGCCGCTTAATTCATGCAGGGTTGGCCTCGATGAATCTCAAGGTTGTTCTGGGCAGGAGAGTTCTGCTTGTGGTGTTTGGCGAGTTCCTGTTTTGAGTAAATGTGCTACTCAAGTATCGTTTCATCGTGTTGTTATTTTTAAGAGTGTTTTATTGAACAAGACGATTCAGGTACACAACACAGAGGATATGAAAGGGAGTTGACACCAGCACGAACACAGTGCAAGGAAAACCTGTCTTAAACGTCACGTTTCAATAAACTGTTTAAATAAACTCTGCAACCCGCTGGTGTCTTTCTAAGCTCTGATACCCCAGTAGAAGAAGGGGGGGGGAGGGGGGAGAAATGGTAGGGGAGGGGGTATCGTGTTGCTACTTAATGCAACCATACTTGCCATTTAAAATAAGAAATATCACAACCCAGCTAATGTTGACGATTGAAACCACCCAAAAGTATCATTCGTATGTCGTTCAAGAAAGTCTTGAGTGAAAAAAGATGTACGGGGATTTTTATTTTGGTGAAAAAGTTATTTTTTTGTTTGCTGTTGTGAGGACACAAGATTAAAGAGCACTTACTGTGTCATTCTCATTTTATGTACAATTAATTGTAGCCGACAAAAAAAAAAACGCGGATTTATTCACGCAATCTGAATTTTAATAACGGGGTGTAAATAATTCAGCACTCGTAATGAAATCCCCCAGCGCCCGTCTGGAAACATGACCGATATTTCCTCGTGGCTTTCTCAAAGACTTGGCTGTCAAAGCAATCCAAGCCCCTTGTAGAGTTTTAAATAATATTGACATCACACCATCTTAGAACGGATGCACGCTTCCCATTGGAGGCATATGTTCAGTTTTTACATACGTGAAATGTCTGTTTGTTTACCTTGGGGAAGGGGGATGCGAAATGAAGACCCGGAGCATTTTTCCCGTGCACGTATATTTATATATGTGTACACACATATATACTCTTATTAATGTGCGTGCATGTGTGCTGTACTTAATGCATGTAAGTCCAGCTGAGATTATTAGCACTCGTGTGTATGTTGAACTTCTTTCGCACTGTACGTAGCCAACCGCGCTAATCGGAGGTGTGGATGGAAGGACAACAAGCTTAACACAAAAAGCAGTTGTGAAAAAATGAGTTTTCAATCTAGATTATTTCAAAGTGCATAGTTCCAGTGGCTTCCTCATATCGGAAGGAAGAGCGTTCCAGATGGCCTCAGTAGCACGTTTGAAAGCGCGCCATTACAGCGACGGCCGTTGTTCGATGGCCAGCCATCATGACGACAAGTTGGGGCTCTCATTATTACACTGATCATGATTATTAGACGAATCATTTGGTCATATTGCTGAGGAGTTGGCAGTGGTGCACAAATGCAAAAAAAACAACAAACCTCGACACATTTGTTCAATAGCAACATGGCCTTAAAAGTAAAACAATAAATATACAATAGGTGATTTTTCGGGCAATTGCCCTTCTTCATAGGAAACGTCGCCTATTGTAAAACAAAAATATTCTATGAAGAAGGGCCATTGCCTGAAACGTCGTCTATTAGATATATATTTTTCCCCTTTGAAGGCCACTGTTATTGACGAAAGTGCTGAAACATCTTGCCTGTCGGGTTTTACTAGCCGGTTGTCATATATGCTGAAATGTGTATACGTTGGTGTCAATAGCTGCGCCGGCACACCGTTCTATCCATGTTGGTGTGTGTTCAATCGGCTGTTGTTTTAAATCTGCGCACGTGTTTTCAAGTACGTTTGGCGAACGTTATCACCCTGAGTCGGTGACGGAAACTCCAGCTTACTGTGGGAATCGTACCCACGAACCTCCGGCATGCCGGGCGAGGAGGGAGTTCACGTCTCGCCACATCGGCACCCCCACGGGGCGGCTGCCTCGATTTCGGACCTCCGGTGCCACCGCCTCTCGCTCGACAACAACGAACGCTCTGACGCCCCCCCCCCCCCCCCCCCCCCGGAGCCGCGTGGCCACACTCCCGCGCTTGCCGCGTCTCCTTTTTCAGCTCGCGTTTTCTTCTCCGTCTCCCCACAGCGTCGAAGCGGCCCAGAGGGATCTGAAGAAGCTGCCGGCGATTCCAACGCAGGCTCTGAAGGAGCATCCCTCCCTCTGCTACTGGTGAGCGGCCGGGGAGCGCCCGCTCACGAAGCGTGCTCGCTGCGTGAGTCTGCCGGTTTAACGCGTGGGCATTTTCGCCACCAGTGTTACTCGCGATAAAAAGGTGTTTGGGCGAGATCGCGTCTACCCTTGCCTGCGTTTGAATGCACATGGAGAGCGGTGGTTTCAGCGGTTAGCGCGCCACGCTGCGTGACCGATGTTTGAGCTGCCCTTAGTGGCGAACTGACACATCGCGTGCGTTCCATACCCACCCCCCCTCCACCCTTGTTTCTCTCCAAGCGAGGAGCGGGTGATTGAGAATTACCAGCGCCTTGTGGGCCTCACCCATGGACAAGCCATCGTCAAGTGAGTTTTACGCGCATCAACCTTCCCGACTTTTTATCCGTCGGCCTTCCCTGCAGTTTGATTGGATTTTAACGGCGCACTGCGAGCGCGATTATTACTGTCATTGCACTCGCAGGACGTGAAGTGAACGGTGGTGATGAAGTGAATGTGTCTGCAACCAATGGCAAGCCACCCACATTTTGCTGGTGACTCGGATCCTGTGGTGGAAACTGCACATTTTCAGAGAAGGGGAAAGTCTCTCTGGAGCACGAACACTGTTGGCATCTGTATGTACTGCATGTGTGTTGAACGTCTCTCGCACCGTACGTGGCCAACCTTGCCAAGCGGAGGGTGCAGCAGGAGGACAACAAACTCAACGCAAACAGCTGTTGCTCGAAGGAAATGAGTTTTAAATTTATATTCAAGAGTGCATCGCTCAAGTGGTTTCTTATTTACATATTACATTTTAGTTATTTTAGTCACAGGTCAGCTTTGTGTGGCTTCACAAGCTGCATTCATTTGGCATCCCCAAACTACGTCCGGGACATTTCGTCGCGCGGCGTGTGCAACATGCGGGTGTGATTCTTGTGCTCTCGTTGTTTTGTTGTTTCGTTTAGTGTGACACACGCGTTGCTATTGTAATGTCACAGAGAGAAGCGCGGGGCATTCTCTGATCAGTGCGTTGATACTCAACGATCCTCGCGTGTCCTTGTGATCGCTCACTCAGAGCCACTTTGCGAGTAGCACAAATCACAATGCTCCTTTGCACACGGCAAATGCGCAGTGGCACCGAGATTGGGGTTAACCCAGAAGCACTTGCACAGTGTCACGCGATGCACACTTAGGTGCCGGGTTTTTTTGGGTCGTCGAAATTCCCACGATAACAGATGTAACATTTGGGTCGCTTTTAATTCCAGGGCTGCCATTTCCGCATTGTTGTCGACTTTCAAAATAAGTGCAGGGTCGTGCTTCTGAAGAAGCAAAATATGTCCAGTGTAGAAATGTACTCGCACAAAAAAAATAACCCCACGCTTTCTTTTTCTGGAAAGGACCGGATGAACGTCGCAGTCACTGCAGTGGCTCGTGCACTGTGCTAGGAAACCCAGGAACGTGAAAGATATATAATTCCCGAGTGCTTGTGCCCACGGCTGCCTTCAGATTAAGGGCAGTGTGAGCACATGGAATGTTAAATTAAGCTGTTATCAGCCACACCTGGTTTGGCTTACCAACGCATTCTCTACTCGGCGTGTGTGTGTGTCTGTGTGCTGTTGCCCTTCTGTATTGCAAGCAAACACAGACTGCTGCACAAAAACGTTGGGCTTATCCGGATTTCACATCTTAGAGATTGTGAGTGGCGGCAGGACGTTGATATGTTTGTTGCTCCTCATCGCAGCGTAGAGGTTCCTTTTTCCTCCTCTGGTTTCCTTACCACTGCAAAGGGCGTTTGAATTGCACAGTGTGGTCCAGATATCGTGTGACCATCCAATTGATTGACCCTGTAATAGAGGTTTTGGGTTAGGTCGCATCAATATAAATGTGTCCTTAAACCCGCCACCACCCCATACAGCCAATAAGTAAGGGGTTTGTCACGTAAAACAGAACATGCCAATTCGTTACTGGTACAGCACAACAGTGTATTGGAGAGTAAACCCACAACATTTACAATTCGAGTACGACATTTCGCCAGCAATTACAACTAGCCTCATCAGGCGACAGCCAGAGTTGTGGCGAAATCCTCATGTTTTGGTCTTAAAAAGAGGGATAAATGAACCTTATGGCGGTACCCCGAGGTACCATAGTACCCCGGCTCTCGCACGTCCGTGATGCAGTCGTTTTTAATCTGTTGATGGTCAGCGATGCGGCCATCGCCTCGTCTCGACGAGCTGTACACAATGCACTACTCAAAGTTGAATTTTTCGATAACGGATTTTTTTATGCTGTTTGGCGTTTTTTTACATCGTGAAGCAGCACTGATTTTCGGATTGATTGGTACCGCAGTCGCAGAGTTAAGTACACCCCTGGAATTTAAAAAAAGTGTCCCAGAAATAAAATATTTCATTGACTCGGCCATTTTGGATTATTTGGTACCCCGGGGTACCGCAGTGAGGATCAAATGTGATGTCGTCACTTGTGTTGGGTGGTGGAGGGTTTAACGGCACATTTATAGTTACGTGATCTAACCCAAAAACTTCTTATGGAAAATATTGGTCGCGAAAGCCTACGTGTTCATTTGATTGACCCCTATTTTTTTTACCCCCCCCCCCCCCGTGCATATTCATTTCTGTTTTAAATATTCCTTACAAAAAATATTACGTTTTGGATAATTAAATGGGGGGGGGGGGGGGGGGTTACAAAACATCTGGACCACCTTGTATATGAATACTTAAACAAGTATAAGATTGATTTAACACATAGGCTTTCGCGACCAATATTATCCATGATAAAGATTTTTCGGGATAGATTGCGTAAATATAATTGTGTCGTTAAACCCGCGACCAAATGTTGTGGGTTTACTTCCCTAGCACACCGGTGTCCTGAAGTAGTAACGGCACCTTACGACTTGGCTGTGGCGGATGGTGGCGGGTGGTGGCGGGTTTAACGAGAAGAAGAAGAAGAAGAGGAAGAAGAAGAAGAAGACATTACCCATACATTTATTTTATTTCTTCCTATGTGACTTTACCGAAAGAACCAAAGAGTATTACCCATAAAAGTAAAAATATTTTTTTTTCGTCATAAGAGACCATCTTTGGGTGTTAGGCCTGTTAAATTGTAGAGCTATACTCCTCTAAAATGATCTCCGTTTAGGTAATTGAAATGCTTCGCGCATAAAGTTAGTATGCCAGGATTACTTCCACAGGGGTTGTGTCAATGTAAATAACTTCAAAAACGAAAAATACACAGAATGCCAATTAAGGAGGAAAATAATTAGATAAAAAACAGAAAATCTAATTAGGGGAGGAACATTGATGACCTCATCACGAAGGGGACATGATGATGACAGTCTGAGACAAAAGGTCGCTGAGGTTTATTGCTTGCGGGCCAGATTACACAGAGCTGTGCATAGCGCGGCTCAAAGACATCTTCTGCAAAGGTGCAAAAAGTCCTTCGCCATTCATTTCGGCGGGCTGATGAAAATTAATTGGCGCAAGTGAGCACGCTTTCGGCGGCCCTACAGTCTTCGCAGCTTGAGAAATTCACATTGAAACACATTGAAATTCGCATTGAAACTCACACTGAAATTCAAATACGAAATTCACATTGAAACACGTTTTTCGCAAGCTTGCTTCGGTAATACATGTCTGCTGGACATCCGTGAAGAAGAGCTTTTTGCTCATCGGATTCCTCCAGTGTGTATACAGATTTTGATTCTGAAATGAAGATTCTGATGCCAAAGCAATTTGCTGCAGTTCGAGCTATCGATACTGCTCCCGATCAAAGCGAGCGGTGAGTCCCATCAATTGATACCGCTCGCGATCAAAACCAGCAGTGAAAAACTGGAGGGCCTGGAGAAAAAATCCACGCGACCACGGGTAGAACATGCAAACTCCGAATACCGTATACAGGCGTCAGAGTTGGGATCGAACCCCAGACCTTCTGCATACCAGGACAGGAAGATAACATCAGAAGCGGTATCGATAGATAGGACTCACTTGCTTCAAGCTGATTTGGACCAGCTGCCAGTCCTTGCACATGCGATGCCTTCTTGGGCTTTCCGCTGGTTCGACTTCGTCATAAATGTCACCGTTGCATCTGTGACCGGTCTCCTCGCAGTCGAGAGCTTGGTTCGAGGGTGCATTGGCAGCAAAAGAGCGGGCCGATGCGAACGCTGTCCGCAAGAGGTCACGCGTTTGGCGCAACAATCCTTCGCCGAGACCGTGCGCGACGAGTGAATGTGCGGAGCAGGGCGACCGCCCGGTCCTCCCGCGGTCCCTGTTGGAGACCGTGCGCACGAAATGAACCCCGTCGAGCGAGCCGAAACGGAATGTGCCAAACGTGCCCGGTGTTTCTTGGACAACCTCGCGCAACACCCCCCTGTAAACAGATTGGAATGGCCCGTTGTGACGCATTGTCTCTACTGCTGTGCACGTGCGTGCGCGTGTGTGTGTGTGTAGCTGTTCGTGAGGTGTTTGCTCACAGCACTTGCCCCAACAGTCTGTTAAGGCTACACGGGGGATATTTGTCCGTGTCTTTGTCTGTCCGGCTGTAATTTCAGATCTTGCAAGCACAGCATGTTATACTTTCACAAAAAAGGAAGATTTTTTGTTTTAATCTTCGCTAATAATATTCTCTGATTTTTATGTGTTGGCCGCAGTTATATGAGCATTATTGAAGCTCTTCCAACCTACGGAATTCACTACTACAATGTAAAAGTGAGTCACTTTGTTATTTCAGTCGTTAAAATGTCATGTATTTAGTCTCATCGGCACACATCCGCAGTGACGAAATGTTCCCTCACCTGGTATGCAGACGGTCGTGGGTTTAATCCCGAACCTGACATCTGTATATTTGGAGTTTGTATGTCTCTCCCAGTGGTCGCGTGGATTTGTCTCCGCGTCCTCCGGTTTTTCCCTCCACATTTAGAATCGACGTCACCACGCGTTTAGAGTCTTTGGATGCTATAAATGTCCACGTGGTGATGAGCCACTTCATTAAGCTACCATTTGTGACCAGGTCGCGTCTGAAGAAGAGCTATATAGTTTGGTGGGCCTTACCTGGTGTGGTGTGTAAACATTACCACTGGGGAGACAAAGGCTGTGGTGTTGGCCACCCATGCACCTTGTGTAACGTGTTGGCTTTAATAGGTGCTTGCTAACAGCACTTGCCCCAAGAGTCGGTTGAAGCTATATGGGGCATTCTTTGTATTTGCCTTTGTGCATGAATCTGCCGTGTAGGACAAGCAGGGAATCCCATGGTGGCTCGGTCTGAGCTGGAAGGGCATCTTTCAATACGACTACCAAGACAGAGTTCAGCCAAGAAAGGTACAATCCGCCCATTCATTCATTCTTTCAAATCAGAGAGCCGTGTGTGTGTGTGTTACATTATATGTTGAGAATGTTACATTTGAAAAGTGACCAGTCTGAATGACCTGAGGGTGCAGCCCTGCATTGATTACTTATTTGACCCACTTTTGATGGGACGACGGGCTGAGCTGATCCGCCCGGGGGGACGTGAACTTCGTGACCTTGCGATGGCGAGGGCGGTTGCTCTAACCCTGAGGTCGGCAACCTGCGGGCTCCAGAGCCGCGTGCGGTGGCTCTTTTAAGGAGCGCTTCGTGACACTTATTTATTCAGGACCACCATTTTGTATTCATGTTGCATTGCGGCTTTTGAAATGTTGAGGGTTTTTTTTACCGAATACGAAAAAAATAGCTCTTCTTATCGTTGTTATCGACTCTCTGCTCTCTCCACACAGTGCGAGCTGGCTGCTTTGGAAGGGGTTCATTTAATTGAGGGTTTATTTGATTCAGGGGAGTGGGGGGGGGAAGCACAATTGCCCATGCTGGGAATGTGTGAGGAAGAAGTCTCCACCATCAGAATTTCTGATGTGGAGCGACCCATGGTGGCGAGATGTTAACTACCTCGCCTGGTATACAGGAGGTCGTGGATTCGATCTCGACCCTGATGCCTGCTTTACATTTGGAGTCTGCGTGTCTCTCTTTCCCCCCCCCCCGTGGTCGCGTGGATTTTTCGACGGGTCCTCCAGTTTTTCCCTCCACATTTAGAATCAACAACATACCTTTAGAGTATTTGGCTTCTATGTATTTACACTTGATGATAAGCCCACTTCGCTGAGCTATCATTTGTGATAGCCAGGTCACTTTTGAAAAGGAGCTACATAGCTCAGTGGGCCTCACCTGGCAAAATACAAAATAGTTCAACAGTTTTAGCTTACTAGACAAGTCGAGTGCCATTCACTCTCTTATCCCCGAACTAAATGTGTCCGTTCTTCATGCCGCTTCTCCAATGGTCACGTGCAATGCGCCGACAGCGCGTTGTCCGATCTGTTTTTTTTTTACCACCGCAATTGCAATTTAGCAAGAGCCTGGCAACGAGCAATCACGGCGCATTCACCGGTAAGAATGGAGGTGGGGGAAGTAATGGCTGAGACGAGACTAAATATAGCCAACTTCCCCCCTCCCCCCCCCCCACAATTATACACAACTGTACCCCAAGACATAATCATCCTAACGAGGCTGCTGCACATTGTCTTGAAGTGGGTCGGTCAAGGGCTGTGTTTTTATTTGGCTGCGGTAGGACCACGTGTGCCAGTGTTGGTGACAAATTGCCTCGCATCAGAGATGAGTGCGTTCACCGCAGGCGAGGCCAATTAGGAATTGTTTCACTACCAGCCGTACGTTGATTAACCACGCTTGGCTGCGTTCGGTGCGAAAGAAGTTCAGCATAATACGTACGTCAAACTAGCTGTTGGACGGCGCTCGTCTCCCACCGGCATTCCTGAGCTTGTGGTGGAAATTCCACATTATTGTGGCAGGGGGTCGATCTCTTAACAAGACAACGGTCGTCACCGACGCGATGGGGCATAGATTAAAATGCCTCGGAGGGCAGTTAAAAATGACGTGATTGACCCTTTCCCGTTCCGAGACGCCTGCAAGTTGCAGGGTGGGTGAACCTCGGGACGTGCGAGCGGTTCAGCGTTAATTTTATTTAGAGAGGCGTAGTAGCGCCGTTGTTTTTAAGGACGTTGTTACTCACCGCAGAGAACCGTAGCGAAACAAACACCGCACTCTACGATGGCTGGCGCCACAACTGTGCCGCACGACCTCCCACATGGCCTTGAGGGCGCCTCAGTACATCTCCAGGTCGGAAGACGGGAAGTTGTTTTATTATGACGTACGTGTACGTCATCGGAACAGGAAAGGGTTAATGATCTATAATTTGACATTGATAGTAACCACGCGTGTCCTTGACTATATTCGAAAAAGGTTTGCCAGAGGCGTGAAGTCATATTTTTCATGTCATACGATTGAAACAATTCACCGCTCCCCCCACCGAGCGATTTAATTCGTCGTGATGATGCAATCGCACCCGCATTGGCCACAGAGGTCACTGGAACGCTTACATATAAATAAGAGACAAAGTTCCCCCGTATAGCCTTTAACAGACTGCTGAGGCAAGTGCTGTTGGTGAGGAGCACCTGTGAAGGCCGACACGGCACACGAGGTGGTGAGTGGGCAACACCACGCCCGGCCGCCTTTTTCTCTCTCGTGGCGATGTTTTACACACCGCACCAGGTGCTCATTTGAGGCTGAGTCGACCTAGGGGAGGCCCAGGACCGGTTTAAATATTCGCCACTGGTGATGGCCGCGAGCTGAAACAGTGTACACGGTGGTGCTGGTGGGAGTAATGGTGATGATGATGATGATGCGGGGAGCGGTATTGTAGCGTTTAGCACGCTGCACTGCAAGCCTCCCCAGTTCAATTCCCGCTCACGGCCAACATCCGTGACGAATATCTGGACCGGTCCCGGAGCTTTCCTAGGTCGACTCAGCCTCAAATTAGTACCTGGTGCGATGTGCAAACAACGCCACTGGGGGGAGACAAAGGTGGCCGGGCATGGTGATGGCCACACAACTGTTGTCGTGTGTTGTTCCGGCCTTCATCGGTACTACTCGCTAACAGCACTTGCCCCAACAGTCTGTTAAGGCTATGGGGGGGGGGGGGGGGGGGGGGTCTTGTGTATTTTGGTGGCGGTCTGCAAAAACGTGTGAATAGCGCTTCGGGTTTATACCAGACGTCCTTAAGGAAGGCACTTGAATATCGCTTCCGTATCCTTAAGATAAAGTGTCTTCGGGTAAGGACGCACAAATGTCTGCAATGGCAAACCACGTGGCGCACGCGCACGCCTGTGACGTTGGCGTCAAATATCGAGTGAGAAAATGAAGCCCCGAGGATGAGATTTTAGGGTTTTTTTTATTATTATTATTAAACCAAAACCGTCGACTCTGCGGATATAAAGCATGCTGCAGTGCTGCATTTCTCAAAACAGTATGATGTCGTCCATACTGGATGTCCTGGCCAAAATTCCACTTGAGATGATTATGGGGAAAACAATCTCTGCTCTGGCCAAACTCCGCCTACAGACGGCTAATCCTCAAGCATACTTGAGCTCCTATATCTGAAAGCATAAACATCGATTAGAAGGAGGCGCAAGCCGCATTGGTAGGGTGGTAGCATTGCTCTCTCAGAGGGGGGTAAAATATCAAAGTGCCCTGGCTCTTAGCAGGCTGAGCATTTAATTCAGGCTAATGTCACGTTGACTTTCATCCCGTTCAAAGTCAAACCCCAGTGATTTCCTGCTTCGAATGAGCATTGACGCAGCGCTCGTCTATTTCTCGTATGCAGCCCCTGAGCCAAACGGTGGAAATTCCATTGTCATATGGTAGGGGCAAGTCTGTCCACGGGAACAACTTACCTTCTATTTTAGCAACTCCAGAGGAATGATGGGCAGAATCAACGCCAAAGCAGGATTTGAACTCGAAACCTTGCGATTGCGAGCCGCTCGCTCCCCCCTGCCAAGTTATCATTTGAGACCAAATTCCAAATCGATCAGAATATTTATTTGTATTCGAAGAGGATTCCGATGAGCTATGAAGCTCTTTTTCGCAGATGTCCAGTAGGGGCAGGTCAGAACGTTACAACAACAAACAATACAAAAAAAGTATAAGAAACGTAAGCAAATCACGAAAAAAAGATGTTTATCATACAAGGTAGGACCCACTGAGCTGTTAGCTTCTTTTTTAGAAGCGAACTGGCCTCAAATGACAGCTCAATGAAGTGGCTTATGTGGAAATGTATAGCAGCCAAACAATCCAAACGCATGTTTCTAAATGCCTCCAGTTAGCTGGGTAATATGTGAACAAGCCAATCACCTGCGAGTTAAAAGTGCTACATCTTTTTTGTTGTTGTGCTGAATAGGCCATTCGAGAGATTGCTTTGGACAAAAAAAACCCTCGGTGAACTTTGCAAGAGTAGGTCACAATATCTGGTGACTTTTTTCCCCCTTTCAATTTGCCGCAAATTGTAATGGAGTCATAATATTCCAACCGGGAGAAAGGACGCTCGCCCTGAAGGATCAGCCTCGGGCTGGGACCGAGGGTCCAGCCTAATTATTCTTTATCGGAAGCGACAGGGCACGCTTAGACGTAATGTGCTCGTGTGTAACAAAAGATAATTAAAACGCCACGGTGCCCCCTACAGCTTCACCATTTCTGTCTCGCCTCACCCCCAAGCATTATTAATCATATGAACACATTCCTATAGCTTTGGGATTCCCACAATATGTTGGCGCACTGCGGTGGCGAAATGTTAACTTCCTCACCTGGTATGCAAGAGATCGTGGGTTCGATCCTGACCCTGACGCCCAGGGACGGAGCCAGAATTTTCAGCCCGGGGTGACATTCAACAAATTTTTATTTCAAGAATGATTAGAGAGTCAGGCTGTTGAACTAGACGCCATCGGTTGGCGACACACTCTGACAATGCAGTTGCACGGAGTCCGCCAGACCGAGTGTCGTACACTTATACGCAGAATGTTTCAGATTTTCGATTTTTTTTCGGGGGTGACAATTGTCTACCCTGTCACCCCCCTGGCTCCGCCCCTGCTGACGCCTGCTGTATATTTGGAGTTTGCATGTTCTCCGGGTCCCCGGGTTTTTTCCTCCACATTTAGAATCAACACGCCTTCGGAGTATTTGACTGCTATTAATTTCCACACGTTGAGCGACTTCGTTGAGCTATCATTTGTGAGGGCCAAGTCGCTTCTGAAACAGAGCTGTGTAGCTCAGTTGGGCCTTAACTTGTTTAGTTTCAGATTGTTGTTCACACTGGGTCAGAAAGTCACCCCCATGAGTTTTGGGGCAAAAGTGCAATGGCCTGTAAATATGATAAATAGCGGTGCCGCTAACCTGGTTTGGTGTGCTAGATAGCTTTAAGCTTCACATCCCTTGAATGTGTTACT